TTCCCTGAACTCTGTCCAGGTCTTCTGTCTTTATTTTAATGTGGTGCCCACAAGCCCTGTTCAAGTACATTATTGTCAGTAAACAGTGTATAAATTCATTTGCCAAAGACAAGGCTAGACAGTGTTTTCCTGCAGAAACAGAAATCCTACAGTTTATTTTTCAGTGGTAAAATCTCAGCTAGTAAGTTATTAAATGAGAACTCTTGTATCTGTGGAAGTTTATGCTTCCTTTAAGAATGGTTTGTTGTTTGTGATGTTTTTTTCTTTTACAAAAATGTATACGAACCAAAACTACACCACCATGATATGGCCTGATCCTTTCTCAACGTTGCAGCACTTAGTTTTGGTGGAATTATTCCTTCAATACGTTGGTGTACACAGAAAAACATCAGGCTAATAGTTTTCCGAGAATTTAATTTTAGATTGTAGAAGTTGAATATATTCTATAAAGGAATATTTTATATTCTATAAAGTATTTTATATGACCTGACTTTAAAATAGATAGCATGTCTAGCGATCTCCAGAAATACACTGATCATCATCATCATCATCATCTTTATCAAATGCTTGTGTACCTAATGCATTATTTTTAGAAACCAATCTTTGTAACAAAAGAATGGATGAATTTTTTCACACACAGACTCTAGGCCAACCCTCTTCTCCCTGGGTATATAAACACCAGCCCCAGAGAGGAAATACCCATATTCAACCATACAAACCAAATCATGCACCATGACCATGCTTATATCAGCACTCTGACAAAACTCCCCATACTCGCACTTCAACCATATGGACAAAAGATATTTTTGATAAGATGCTCTAGAGTTGAGAACTATTCTTGATGTCATCCTTACCTGACCCCCAGATGATCTTTCTTGACTACTTTTTTCTCACATCTGGATGGTGGTGACTAAAGACAAGTGGGTTTCGGTTGTCATCTATTCTAGCTGTTCCATTGAATTTCTCCCACCCACCCTGTCCAAAGCCTCCTTCCCCAACCTCCTTCAGGAACCATTCTCGCAAGGAGATCCTCTTCTGGGAGGTAGAATTTCCGCCATTAAAGAGCAAAAGAGGTGGTGCGTCTTCAGCATCAGGGAGCAGGATTCTATTCAAAATATTTTCTAGTTCCCAAAAAGATGGGAGGGTCGGAGACTCCTCAACATGACAGCCTGCGCTTTTATTTGCAAACTATGATTCTGCCTGGTTCCACTGGCCCGGGTATTACAATCTCAGGAAAAGGGCCCCATGGTTCACAGCTCTTGCTATGAAAGATGTGTACTTTCCTGTGGCCATTCGCCCTTCCTACAAAAGACTCCTCAGATCTGTGATGGTTCCCAACCACTATCAGGGCAGGGTTCTTCTGGGTCAGTAGTCTCGCGAAACTGTTTCTGGCAGTGGCAGCGCAGCTCAAATGGAGCAGCTCCATCATCTTCCTGTATCTAGGTGACTGGTTTCCCCATGGTCAGGACATGCTTGAGAGTCCTGACATCAGCCTCCTCCCTGCTCCAACTCCTGACATCCCAGGAAATCTGTGTGAACATGGAAAAAATCTATCCTGACTCCGTTGTGAATTAGGGATATAATAGAGTAGTCGATTAACTGATAAGCAAAAGCTTATTGTTTAATGCTATAGACTACATGCACTGCCTCCAGCCAGCATAGGCGTGCGCAGGGGGTGTGCCAGATGTGCCTAGGCACACCCTAACGTCTCAAAAAAAGTGGCTTTTCATTTTAATTTAATCTCATGATACGCTCTTTTAAGTAAAGTTTAGTTGTTAATTTAAAAAAAAATAAGTTTAGTTAAGTTTTAGTTTCTATAGTTTGGTTGATGAATAAAAATAACGTCCTTTATGACTGAGTATTCAATAAATGTTCGCCTTTAAAAAAAAAATACAATTCCATGGGTGTACACCCTAATGAAATGTGCTGCGCACGCCTATACCCGCCAGTAAATTTTTTAGCAGGCTGGCTAGCAGCCTGTCTCAGTACTGTCTTGTGACAGGTCCAGGACCTACCCTTGCTGCAGCTCTGCATTTAAAGTGTATTAGGAGGTAGGTGGGCAAGCATCCCGGCTTACACCTGAGTCCAGGAGATCAGACAGCCTCCAACCCGGACAGGGGCTACTGCCACTTCTGTATCAGAGGCAGCATGGGACAACAGGCAGCCTCTCTGTGAGGGAACTGGTTTTTAAACTGGCTCCCCTCGTAGACCAGCTCCCACCTGGCACCCTGCGCTGCTGCCTCTGATACAGAAGCAGCAGCGCAGCATGGCAGGGGGCTCCTCAGAAGTGGGGCTGCATTTCACTGGCTGCTGGCCCGGCCCCTGGAGACTATAGAAGAGTTGTGTAACCATAACTGATAAGAATTCATGAAGTTACTTAACTATTCAATTAACGGATATTTAACATCCCTGTTGTGGATTATAGCATTTATAGGAGCAACTTCAGACTTGTTAAGAGCCAGGGCAAATCTTCCCTTAGACAGATAACTCTCCTGGGGCACACGGTGTCATGTATTTGCATAACACTGCTTGCCAGACTCCACTTCCATTGCCTCCAGGCTTGGCTTGGAACACTGTATACAGCAAGCAAACAGAGCGCGCGCCATGGTGACTGTTCGCATCGAGGTGAGAGCCTCATTGACTTGGAAAGATCCTGCACCAGCGTGTGTGGGCGTTTTTTTTCTGCCCCCCTCCCCGTGCCTGAGAAAACAATAATTGCAGATGCTTCCTCGCTGGGCTTCAGGGAAGGGGGCTCACAAGGATACCGTAGGATACCAGCACGTACACACAATTCGTGGAACTCTGAGCGGTCCAAGCCTCCTCTGCTGACACTTACTTTGGGACAGTGGTTCTGCAAGCGGTCACACCACTTACACTCTGCTCCTCTCTGGGTACCTCTCTGTAGTCCCCCACAGTGAAATACCCATAGGGGCTGGGACTTGAAGAGATGCGCAGTCCCTGTCTGTATTCTACTACCTGCCCTTCCTCCCTTCTATTTTGGAGCAAGGCTGTTTAGCAATAAGAGAGGGACATCAGTCTACCTTGCCCTTGATACCTTTGGCACTAAGCATGAGGAGAACAGGCATTTGGGCATGGAGCAGACTAGGGATTTAATAGTGTAGCCAATTAACAGACAAGCAAAAGTGTATAGGTTAATGCTAT